CATGAACGCACCCGTCCTTTCCTCTCCACCTGTCTGTCTGTCTGTCTGTCTGTCTGTCTGTCTGTCTGTCTGTCTGTCTGTCTGTCTGCCTGCCTGTCTCTTTCTCCCAATCTATCTGTCTCTCTTTATCTATCCATCTCTCTATCTCTCTATCTCTCTATCTATCAAACTATCTCTCATGGCAGCAGCTCTTCGCTCTCTTTAAAAACTTCTCTGAAAAACTTGCGCGTCATGGGCCGCGCTCTTATGACCAATTCAACGCAATAAACACTCAATCTGATTAATTATAGATAAGATGGATTTGCTGGGGTTTAGTATTATTGTTATGACTGTAAACAACCGAGCGATGCCGTGCGCCAGCTAAACTAGGACGTGTCGTATGCTAAGAGAGAAAAAAAGACGAGAAATAACAAAGTGTCTGGATGGGGCCCAACAGTTTAGCGTGTCAGCCAAGTTTGTTCGCCAACTGCGCCAGTGAGGCAGACCTTTCTCCACAGAGAACCCGATGAACTAGGGTCATTCCAATCTTTGCAGTGTAACCTTTCCAAGTTACTTCAAATCAAATTATCCATGTTTAAAAAACACTTGTTAGACCTATAGAAGTATTAATGATTACAAGCAGTAGCTTTTTATAGCGCCCTTTCCCCAACTGGGCTCTGGGCTCTGGGCGCTGTGCATCAATAATGGAATTGGTCATTTAGTTAATGGAGTTTAATAGCGGTGGGGTAAGCTCACGTTTTGCCTTCAAGAATATTAATATACCAGCAGCGTTGTTTTGAGCGCGTTGCAGTTCCTAGATTTGTACCCCTGGTAGGCCAGAAAAAGTGATTTACAGTAGTCTGGTGTTAGTTGGAAGGGGGGTGGGGGTGTTTAATTTTCTATTATATTCTATTTGTTTTGGTTTTGGTTTTAGTTGTTGTTTTTTGTTGTTGTTTTTATTAGTGTTGTTTTGGGGGGTTTTCATTACGCTGATGTGCCTCAGCTGACCGATTTTTCTGAGCTCTAAATAAGAAATTTTGCTAAGGATGTATCGCAAACTTAGTTTTTGAGAGCTAGATCTAGAAGCCAAAACATGAGATTGGGTTATCCCGAATAGAGTTTGAATTATTTATACCAGGGGATTCCCCAACATCATACGTCTATTTTCCTAGAAGTCTGTTACAGAAATATTGTCTATAGACGTTTCATTTTGATATATTTCCGAAAGACCCTTTATTTCATTCTCATTCAAAAGTTTTAACATTCCATCACTTTATTCCTGTTTTGAATCTTAAAAATACGGTTCTTTTTTTTTTACTATTTGAGAACATTTTTGTGCTTTTAATAAATGCAACTCTAGAACTTGTTATTTTTCTCAGTCTATGGGGGGTTTTTTTGGTGTAAACTTCTCATCACTACAACGTGGGTCCCAGAACAGATTATATCTTCAAATTTTAAAGTGCAGAATTCTTAAGTGAGTCATTGTATCAGATTGTGTCAAAAGTCAAACTGTCCTGAAGTCGACACATTTTCAATTTCAGGTTGCTTAATTTATATATATA